CTTCCCAGTGGCACTCACACCTGATATGCACATTATGTGGATTAGAGAGGTTTTGGACACACAGAAGAAAAACATCACTTTCTACCGCCAGTTGCTCATGCTACAGGTATATCACCTAACGAAAACAAGATTTCTCTGAGGAATGTGAAATGTAGTTAGTGTTTTCACCATGTAATTATTTTGCCATGATCTTCAAGATACTGAAACAGAAACAAACCTGATTACGTTGTTTTTTTATGTCCTGATGTAACTTTCCATTATGGTACTGAGCAGGGTCCCCATCTCCCAGACAACAGTTCTGATGCAGATGAATTATCAAAAGTGGAAGTGGGATGATCTTAGCAATTAAGCCCCATGGCTTAAATAATGGTGTGTGGGGCTGGGCACCATGGCTCATGCCTATAATCCCAGCACTTTGGGAGGCTGAGGCAGAAGGATAAGTTGAGCCCGCCTGGGCAACATGGTAAGACCCCATCTCTACAAAAATAAAAATAAAAACATTAGCTGCATATGGTGGTACATGCCTGTAGTCCCAGCTACTTGGGAGGCTAAGGCAGGAGGATCACTTGAGCCCAGGAGGCCAAGGGTGCAGTGAGCCATGATCAGCCATCAAGACCCCATCTCAAAAATAAATGAATAAATGTGTATGGTATAAACATAATTATATCATATAAGGAATAAAGCATATATGAAACTATACTTAATTATACATATACATTTTATCTTAAAATATGACATCAAACTTCTATATCTGAAATTGAAGTCTAGCTGGCATACTATAAAGGCATTTAGTTATGTAGCTTTCATTAATTTCAGTGAGAAACAGGCTCCCAATCTTTATTAATACTTGAAATTTTAAAAACTTACTATCCATCCATCCATCTATCTATCTATCTATCTATCTATTTGAGAAGGGGTCTCACTATGTCACTCAGGTTGGAGTGCAGTGGCGTGATCATAGCTTACTGCAGCCTCAAACTCCTGCACTCAAGAGATCCTCCTGCTGCAGCCTCCCAAATAGCTGGGACTAAAGGCATGTGCCACCATGCCTAATAATTTTTTAATTATTTTTTTGTAGAAACAGAGTTTCACCATGTTGCCCAGGCTTTAAAGCTTACCTTTTAAACCCATGGCTTTGCATTTCAGATACCTGGATGATGACCAGGACAAACTGTTGCAAAGAGGGTGGACCTATAGGGACCTACACACTGACTGACCCACATGGCTGCTCGAAAGGAAAGGAAAATGCATTCTGCCACAGAGTCCCAGCCTCTGTCTCCACAAGCTAAAGAGTCTTCTACAATCCACAAACCTAGCATCCCAAGACAATATATTTATGTTGGTTAATTTTATGTCAGCTTGACTGGGACACAGAGTGGCCAGATATCTAATCCAACTTTACCCTGGGTGTTTCTACATGAGTTTAACATTTAAAATGATAGACCTAGTAAGGCAGGCTGCCCTCTCTAATGTGCATGGGCCTCATGCAATCAGTTTGAATGCATGAATAGAACAAAAAAACTGGCCTTTCCCCAAGGGAGAGGGAATTCTTCCTGCTTGACTGCTTTCAAGCTTGAGCAGTAGTCTTTCTCCTGCCTTTGGACTCCAATTCAACATCAGCTCTTCCTGAGTCTTGGGCCTGCTGATTACAGATCTTGGGACCTCTCAGCCTCCATAATCACAGAGCCAATTCCTTATCATCTCTTTCTATAAGTGTATCTCCTATTGGTTCTGGTTCTCTGGAGAACCCTGCCTAATACAATATTATAAGTGGAAAAAAAACTTCCCCTATAGAGTCAGCAAGAGGGAGCTGAGGAAGCCTCATTCATCACCAAGGTAAGAGAGGGAAGAGGCCACAGCAGCTAACAATGGTGACACTGTTAGAAAGTATATGGAACTTGAAATACAGTCCGATTGAATTATTCCTACTAGGAGCCTGGAATGGGGAACCAAGAAGGCAAGAGATTAGTATATGGCGGTGGAGAGCATAGAAGGAGGAAAGGTCAGACAAAATAGAGAAGACCTGCTCAAAGATGAATTTGGTTTTCGTTTTGTTTTGTTTTGTTTTTTTCTGAAGAAGTTATTAGGCCAGTGGCAGTGGCTCACACCTGTAATCCCAGCACTTTGGGATGCCGAGGCAGGAGGATCGCTTGAGCCCAAGAGTTTGAGACCAGCCTGGGCAACACAGTTCGACATCACCTCTACAAAAAATTAAAAAAAAAAAAAAAAAAATAGCCAGGCATGGTGGCACATGGCTGTGGTTCCAGTTACTCAAGAGGCTGAGGCAGGGGGATCACTGGTGCCCAGGAGCTCAAGGCTGCAATGAGCTGTGATCATACCACTGCACTCCAGCCTAGGTGACGAAATGAGGCCCTGTCACAAAGAAGAAAAAAAAAAAAAGACATTACTATTCACCCACATTTAGATAGACGTCTTCTTTCCAATCTATGTGAATTCATGCCACTCCATGCTACCCGCCACCCTCCAGGGCAACAGTTGTGACCACATGGGCAACTGCTGCTAAGTCTCAAATCCTTATCAAAAATGCTAAGTGACAGCTAACCAAGGTGTGAAGAGTTTTGCTTTTTCATTCTCGTTGATTTAAACGGCATGCGCTCCGGAAAACTCTTCTATGGGTTAGCGTCTGTGTTCTTCTCACAACACTCAAGTGTACTTAAAATCACATTGGTTCTGGTTCACAGAGGGAGGAAATGGAGGGTGTCAAAGGAAATGCTTGCAGGATTTCAAACATGACAGGATCACAGACATTCTTTTCCAATGTAAAGACATTCCAGGAAAGCCTCAAACTGGTGTAGTGTGTATAGGCTTGTGATGTAAAAGAGAATCTAGGGTTCATTAATTCCTATCATGGCTAAAGACCTCACTGGTTTTACCTGTTTAACTGTGCTCAGGTTTTGAAATTAGTGCTCAGAAGTCTTTCATCCCACTGCCACAGTGTTCCTCACCAAAAGGTCTTCTGTCTTTTGCCAGCTCAGTATTCACAGTCTTCACAAGAGAAGGCTAATTCTGAAATAACTATGTAGCCTGCACAGGGCTGGTGAAAGTCCAGGGGCCTCATTCTACCAATGGCTTTTCAAGCCTTTCTTGCTCCCACATACCCCTTCTCCTACTGCTTTAAATGTCCTTTCTTCCCCAGGATTAAGAGTGGAATTTCTAGAGACGGAATACACGTAATCAAATAGTGTTTCTGAAACTTCTTAGTTATGTGTGACCTTGGGACAATTATTCACCATGTTGTGCCTCAGTTTCCTCAACAGCAAAATGTGAAAAAATTATAATCCCTAGTGTGTAGGGTTATGAGGATGAACTGAGTTCATGGGTCTAGTTCTTGGAGCAGTGCCTGGAACATGGTAAATGTCAGTAAGTGTTACTCATTCTTCCAGCCCCAACAGGTGGTAGATTGCTTGTAGTTCAAGTATAGAACCACACAGGTTCTAGACATGGGTCCACGGTGGAGAAAGCATACATTTACCAGCCTACCTCCCACCAAGACTGAGCAAGGATTACATCTTCTTTCTTTTTATGTTTCCCAGCACCTAGTGTGGTAAGTACGTGACACAGAGCAGGTATTCAGTGAATGTAGATTGAGTGCTTGAAGGGACACTAATTCTAACTCTAAGGAGGAGAGTATGTCACCTAAGGGATGCTGTTTATGAATAACAATGGCAATGCAGTAAATGTAAGCTCCAGCTAGAACCCTGGTAAGAAACACAATTCACTCTTCTGGGATTTTTTAATAATTTACATTCATTTGCTTTAAAATCTTTCAAATAAGGTCACTTTTGTTTATATACTTGTCATTCTTACCAGCATAGAGAGAGGTAAGTATAACAAAACTAACCGAAGCAATGTTTCTTCAACTCCTGGAGACCAAAATCCTAGAAACTGTCTTCAGCAATCTCAAAAGGTTACATTTAATTTTCAACCGCACATAATATACAATTATGACTATTAAAGAGTCGCTGAAAATATCTTTCCAAGTACAAACAAAAGCAAAGCATCAACAGAGACCCAGGACAAGGCAGAAGTGACGACTACATTATGAAGGGTCAGCTCCCCAAACTCACACACCCCCCGAGAGGAGAAGGGATAACAGGATCAGCACCAGACTCACTCACTCTCCTCTCAGTCACTGTAAGACTTTTGATTTCGGTGTCCAAAAAAAACCCTCTGTGGAAAGTGCTCTTCTTGTGAAAACACCTGCTAAAAAGCAAGCCTGAAACAAGGTCAGTCATTGCCCTGGCACACGTTCACTAGTTCCTCAGAATGAGCGCCCTCAAGGTGTTTGGTGGGGGACAGAGGCAGGAGGAGATGGAAACAGACCAACAAGACAGCCAGACACACGCACGCATACACACACACGCGCATACACACGCGCGCATACACACGCGCGCATACACACACATGCGCGCATACACACACACGCGCGCATACACACACACAGAGTTCTAGTCTCTGCCACAGTAACGCAACTCATTAAATGCCACAGCCTCTCTTCTGTGTGACTTTTGTTACTCCCATGAGGAATAGCCAAAGATTTAAACACATTGTCAAGTCAGATTAATCAAAGCCATATTCTCTAGTTAAGCGTAAAGAAAAAGAAGTCATAAAGGAATTCAAATTTGTTCACATCTTGTAACAGAAAAGAATAGGTGGATTCGTATCTGCTATGGTTTGAATAGGTCCCATCCAAAATTCAGGGGTTGCCAGTGTGATACTATGAACAGGTGGGCCTTCGAGAGGTGACTAGGTCGTGAGGGCTGCTCCCTTATTTCTTGGCCAAATAACATTTCTCACTCAATTAAAAGAATCTGGGAAGATCAGTCTAAGTTCACCTGGCTATTATTTAGAATGATAAAGGCTATGAACCAAGTGAATGAGCTACTCAAAAAGCCAAAATAAAAATTCTGAAGGGCTCGGCTACTTTGGTTTTTTTTTTAATGACTCTGGGTAGCAGGCACTCAAGGAAGCCCACTTACCACGATATCCTCAGGAAATGTGTCTCTGCTGAAGGAGCCATCATCAAACATGACCTCGTAGAAGGTCTGCGACGTCACAGCCATCACTCTGCAACTGTAATACCGGGTGTTCCGATGCTTCGTGATGACCGTCTGTCCCACGGAAATGACCTTCTCGCAAGCCTTGGGCTTCTAAAAGAAGGGACGCGAAAAAGAAAATAAATAAGAGAGAGAACAGGAAAAGAAAGGACATAAAATAAAAAGTATTCATTTGAAAATCAATCATTTATTTCGCCAAGATTTTTTTAAAAATTTTTAACTTAATATTGAAGAATAATTTCAAACTTACAAAAAAGTTGCAAGAATACAAATAGTATAAACAATACTTGTTTATACTATCACTCTTTACCCAGGTTCATCCATTGGTTTTGTGTGTGTATGCATATACAAAGAGAGAAAGAATATGCATGTGTGTGTATATATATATATATACACACGTGTATGTGTATATCCAAATATATCAACTTCAGGAAACTGAACACTGATAGGATACTTTAATCTCCATCTACACTCCAGTTGGTCAAATGATCCAATAATGGCCATTATGGTATCCACCTTCCCTACCCTCAAACTCCCAAGTACAGAAATCCAGTCTAGACTCAAGTATTGCGTTTAGTTGCCACATCTCTTTAGGCTTCTTTAATCAGGACCATTTCCTCTGTCTTTGTTTATGGCAGTGATACTTTGGAAGGATACAATTCTTCCTCCTCCTGCTTTTTAACAAAGCATGTGTCTTAAGCTTCCTCATGATTAGATTCAGGTTATACATTTTTGGCCAGAATCCCAAATAGGTGATGTTGTCTTGTTCTCAGGATATTTCATATGAAGGTACGTGGTGTTTGCTTACCCCTCAATGGTGATGTTAATTTTGATCCTGATCAAAGTATAGTTCAATTTCTCCACTTAATTACTATTTTTCTATTATACTAAAGCAATCTGTGAAAGACACTTTTGTCACTATATAAATGTCCTGTTCCTCTTAAACTGTTTGGAATTAGTGTCCATTGAGTTTCGTGCATAATCTTTACTGCAATGGTGGTGTATACTGATATTTCCTGCTCTACCACCCCATCCACATTTATTATTTAGTTGACATTTGGTAAGCAGGAGTCGCCCATATTTCCCTGCACGCATCCATCCATCCATCCATCCATCCAACCATCCATCCATAAATCCATCTGTCCATCTGTCTTTATTCATCCATTGTCATTATGGACTGATGAATTCCTCCTCCCCAGTTGTTTATAGTTCATACTTTACTTTATTATTTTGGTGTTCAAACTGTCCCAGATTTGACCAGTCAGAGCCCCCTTCTGGTTCTTGTGATCTTCCTTTTTTTTTTTAACCGGCAGTTCCTTACTATCTTGTCTGATAAGATGTTTCAGGATCATCTTGCACTAGTCCTGAAATTAGCCATTCCAGGAGTATAGTTCAGTTCAGAGGGGCAGTGACATTAGAAACTCAGATACAGGTGCTTAGGTATGCTCTTATTTCAGGAGTATCTTTGATTCTCAGTTGTTCCAGCAGATGGAACAATGAAATACATGCATTTAACATGTGCACATTTATGTGCATAAATACACACATGCATATATCAATTTGCCACAAGCACACATATATTGGAAATCACCAGTTCAGAGTGATATCCCTATTCATCCCTGCAGATTCTTTCTTGCCTCCCTCTATTCTGTATTTGTATCTTCATCCTTTTTCAGCGAAAACGTTGGCTTCTACAATATAAACCCATTCACTCATTTGCTCAATCCCTAAATACACCCAAGTAATTTTTAAGACCTGTAGGAGAGCTGTAGTAATAGTTTTAGACTAGAAAAACTAACACATATGACAGTTCATCTTATTTTTAAATTAAAAATTAAGACTCAAGTTCAATTACCAGCTCATACTGATAACAGCTGGGTTGCAGTCCTTTCCTAAGAATATGGGCATGAGTTGTAGACTCCATCTTTATTTCATTTTCTCCCTCCCCCTATTCTCCTTCCACACATATTCCTGGCATCCTATAAAACCAGGTGTAGGCCTCAGGGTATACACATCATGCTAAGGAAACTTAAGACTTAAGAACAAATGACTTCTCTCAGAAATACCTGGCAGAGTGATTGGCACATATTAAGTGCTCTAGAAATGTTAGCTTGATGTGTTTTGGGTTGCTTGATTTTCAAGATAAGGCTATAGTCCCTGTTCCCCTTTCAGGAACTCTGTCTACAAAGCCCGTACCTACTAGGAAGAGACTGCAGTCAATATCTAATGCCAAAGTCTGCTCTGAAGACTGGATCTTCTTTATACCAGCCTCAAAGGCTCATGCATCAACTCTGATTTGTTGGATGTCATGAGCTCTGACCTGCTGGGAAGGCCCTGAACCAAGTTCATGGGAAGGTCCAGGCCCTCATAATCCCGAAGGGACCAAAATTAGCCTGACATGTCATCTGTACCTACAGGAAGCTGGGACTCATTAAACCCCAGTATTTTCTTGCATAGATACTTAGAACACTCCTGGGAAATTCAGTTTATCATCATCCAGAATCACAAGTCAATTAGAGGCTTTGCTTTGGTTTCCCCCATGAATTTCAAAAAAGCTAAAACACACCTTGTAGTGTGCACAGTGTTATGCTTAATCTTTTTCTTCTAGAAACCAAGCAAAGACATTCCCAGAGAGTCATTCATTGACTAATTTCCTCAACAGTCATCTATAGCTAGCCAGTGGGCACCAGATCTGGTGTTGGAGAGTCAAATATACAAAACCACTAAGGCTGTATTCCTTCCTGGAACAGGCCTACACAGTTATGCGCCATGAAGCCACTTCACAGGTGGTGTGAGAGAAGACTGATGAACACATTCCAGCATGCCAACTACAGCAGGACTCCTCATTCCTGGGCGTGCAGCAGTCAGAATTAGGGGAAGAACACAATCAAGGACAGAGTGACGGGCATGACCAAAGGCCCAGAAGCAGGAAGCAGCCATTCTGTTGTGGGAACTGCAAGAGGTCTTGCTATGGTGTAGAAAGTAGGAGAAACTAGAGAAATGGCCTAGGGACCAGGGGTCAGGCCACTGGGAGTGGGGGAGAACCGTTCTTATGCCATCCTAGGGAGTCTAAATGTTCTTCTGTGAACCTAGGAAGCCACTGAGGGGTTTAGATATAGAAGACAGGTGATCCAGGTCTGTATGGCCATAGACAAGGGGCTGGTGGAGCTTAGAGCGACAGTACAGTGGGAGATGAGGATCTGGAGAAAGGAACTGGGGACAAGAATGCTCATGATTTGGACAAAGGGGCAGGCCCCCTCCCAACACACATCTTCGTAAGGGTCTCTAACCATCTCTCCCATCTAGTGTCCCACATACCTGACAGAACAAAAGGATACTTTCCTTCTTTCCTCCCTGAAATCATTCCCCAGTGATTAGTGGGTTGCTTGGGAAATTTTTCTATACCTTTAGGTGTGGGTAGGTATGTAAACATTTGACAAAGCACAACAGTAAGAAGCCTGATTTATATCACTATACTTGAAGTAGAAATCTTTAACAGCTAGGTGATAGTATTTAACATATACTGAGATAATTATGCAGTTTACGACTTTACCCCCATTCATTCCCTTTAAATATATCCAACCTTTTAAAACCTTTTAAACGAAGAGAAAGACTTGGATGTAGTAATTAATATGAGTGGAGGCACAGCATGCAAGTGATGCGACTCCAAGATTGGGCCCATGACAGCTACTTCAGGTTGTACAGGTTACAACTAACTCTAGGAGGCCACATTCACAACCTGTGTGGCCACAGACAGTGGCCCTGAGTGATGTGGATTAGGGATACACAGGCTTCATCTTGGCAGAACTTTCTTGCAGATGCTGCCCTCTCTGTCAAACTGAAACACAGTCATGGTCAGAAATACAAGCACTGTATTTTAATATGGTATTAGTTATTTAGTGTATATTGGCAGTTTTACTAAAAATTGTTTGCCCTCAAAGGGGACAATGTGTTGAGATTTGCATTCTAAGCTGATTAATCTTTCAAGCTGTGTGATCTCAGGGGTGTTACATAACCCTTGTCATCCTCAGCTTCAGTTTGGTCACCTGTGGAAGAAATTATACCTAAATCAAAGTTATGCTATAAAACAGGATGAAGCACAAAGGATGCCTAGCCTCATCGGTAGCAGACTCTCAGTAAATCCTAACTGGCTTCATCTAGGAAATGAAGAACATACCTGAGACCTTCGGCTCAGGCAAATCAACCACTTTCCTACAGTACCTGAGTCATTGGCATGGATGAGTGGGCAGTACCCTGACTTCACACTGACAAGGACCAATCCAGCCCCAAATCACTGCTGAAAAAACAATCTAGGCACCTACCCTTCACCTCACCCGCTCCAGCAGCCTCTGACCCTACTCTTGTCAAATTCAGGCACACAGCTACGGTCCCTAGGAAGGAAAGCATAATGTGGTCTCCTCTGCATCCCCAGGGCTCCCAGAGCCTTTGTTTACAACTCTCTTAAGACCCTGGCCACATGACTCTTTCAGTTACTATCCCTTTAATGACAGGGTAAACTCTGCGAATCAGTGCCAGAGCTTGTCTTTTTATCCAGAGAACCCAGCACGGTGTCTGTAACACTGTTCCTGACAGATGAACAGTGAATCAATGAATGGATGGATAAATGAGTGGGTGAGTGAATGCGCACAAATTTTCAAAACGGAAGAGGAATGAATTCTATCTGCTTCTGTCCAGAAAAGGGCAAAGAGAAGCAAAGGGGCACTGTAGAGTGATATCCCTATTCATTCCTACAGGTTCTGTTTCTTTGGTTTCTCTTTCTTTGTCTGGGTGTGCATGTATGTGGGTAAGGGAAGGGAATAGAGAAGGTTTATGGTGAAATTCACAGGGTCTGGAAAGTAGAAGAGGCCAGCCAAGAGAAAAGGAAGGTGATGCAGGCTTTATAAGGAAGAGGCTGGTTCCAGATCACAACCATTTTCTTCCTGCTTAGAATATGAAATTTATGCAGATTGGCTGGTTAGAAAAATGGCCAGTATATAAATTAAATACACAACCTTCATCTAAATAAAAATTCTCAGAAACGTCAGGCATGCCCATTTCATGAGGAGTACTAAGGGAAATGGATTATAATCCTG